ATGGGCTGGCTTGGGTGCACCGCCAAGTGTGGGGGATGCCCCGGGGTCATGGTGAACAACTTAAAGGTCTAGAAGATTTAGTACCTATTGACAAACCTATTAAGGTGCCAAGGTTAAATCACTAGGTGATCTTATGGCCAAAACAAGGACAAGGTCCTTGTGAGGTTAAGGGATAAAGTTTCAAGTTCAAAGTGTTGATTGGAACTATTGATGATGGTGTGGCTTGGTCAAAGTGACTAAGTGGGAAGGACACCTAAGGGAAATAAGATATGTCAATGCAATAGCATAGTGAATTCGAGGAAAGTAGTCTCTATAAGAGACCCATGGGAGGGTCACAAAGTTGGGCCGTAGATAGAGCCCATAGCAAAAGATGCTAAAGAGACATATTAGGGGTGAACACCCTTCGAACTTGGCAAAGGAAAGTCTTTGCTATGGAACCGAAAGGATACTTCGAAAATGGAGGTAGCGATCCTATGTTGTTGGGTGCAACAATCAAGGATAGAAGCAAAAGACTGTGGCTAAGTAAAGAGCCATGGGAAGAATCCAAATGGCAAAGTTAGGCTAAAAACAGAAAGGTGTTAGGGGCTAACGGATTGTAGGAAAGGCAATGTGTTCCCAATGATGGATTCTCAATTGCTTCGATTTGGCGAAAGCGGAAGCTCCAAAAGTGGGAGCGGTAAGGTAGCCAAATGATAGGGCTGTGGACAGCCCTAGCACAAAATATGATAACTGGAACTTAGTGCCAAAGGTGGCATGAAATTGAAGAGAGGATGATGGTGCCCTCAAGTAGAGAACTTTCTAGGATGAGGAACTGGAGTTGCATAATATGTGCAATGCAATGTGTCGAAGACACCTAGGACACTAACTTTGAAAAGTCAGAATTAAAAAGTTCCAAAGTGCAAGGGTTATATCGATGGAAATTGAGACTACTCGAGAATGAGTAGCAGGATTGGGTTAAAGAAGGTGTCTCTAACAGGTTTGGCGAGAACTAAACCAATAAAAGGAGAGAACCATCACAAGTGGTTGAATGAGTCTCTAAGTTGGAGAGACTATGCTCCTTAGAGGATGGGTAAGGCAAGGTGAGCCTTCGGTATTAAACCATGGACGAATGTTCGCGAGGGGCCAAGGATGCAAAGGGTAATACAAGCTGGTATTACTTTATAAAATAGTTTATTGTTTGATGAGGATATCGAATTTCGTCTATGGGTGGTGGAGTTGTGAGACACAAAATCCCTAGGCCCCAAAGTGGAGCTAAAATGGCGCCATGTGGTAGTGGCCGAAGCGAAAGCCAATTGTCAGGGATCTTCGTTGCATGTGGTTGGCACGGCAGCAACATGGTGGAAACGCGACGGTTGTTGGTCTCGCAGCTTCGAGCGGGATTTCTCGCCTTAGGTCGGGCCATGCAAGGTGGCGACTGAGGTACGGAGAGCGTGAAGCTGCATGTGTCGGAGGTTCTTGGCGACTTGAGTCGTGGAAACACGACCAAGTCATGGGAACTTTGTTGACTGGTGGAGGACAGTTCAGGACGACATCCCGACATAGCGAAGTGTCCGCGGTGGATGGACGTGGAAGACACTATGGGCGCATTTTTGGATCTAGTGACAGGGAAGTGCTGTCACAAAGGGGGCCAGTGGCGGATGGCCGAGTTGGTTTGCTCGCGGAGGGGATCCCACATGGTTCTTGCTTCAGGGCTAGTCCTTTGAGGAGGTTCGCGGAGGCTTGCAAGTCTTGTGATTGTCGCGATGCCGGCAACGGGGGCTCGTATATCATTGAAGGGGGCCAGCGCACTTGTCTAGTGTGGGAGGCAAGGTAGCACGCTCTAGTCTAGAGCTGGAGGAGGCTCACACCTTGCTTGTTCTACGCCTTGGAGTTTGTTCGCAATGGGCACCGACTTAGTGCTGGAAGTACACTGGGGAGGTAGGCGCTCCAAGACACAGCATCACGTCTTGGGGTGTAACAGGTGGTTTCAGCTTGTGCAGTGGAATCACCTTGGAGGCGAGTGACCCATGAGCGATGCCGGGTCATCGTGCTCGAGTTGGACTGCTTGGCTGCGACGATGTCGAGCTAGATCGACATGGTGTTCGTCCGGCTTGACATCATTGTGACCGAGTGGAGGAGTGGCGAGGCGAAGCAGGTGGCTTCAAGCTCCGCAGTGGAGTCACTTGGGAGGTGGACGGCCCAAGAGCAGCGCCGGGCGTTCGCGCTCATAGTTTCACTAGTTTCTTCGAGAGTGCGCTCTCAATGTTGTTTTGATCCCTAAGGGACTTGGAGAAATGTACATACACGTTGCACCGAAGTGAAAGCCAAACAAGCGTAACACGTTTGGACTAAAAGCTCCGACTTGAAAAGGTCGAGAGTGGGAGTGGAACTCCTAATGAAGTGCTCGAGGAACAAGCACGAAGTGAAAGATAAGTGAGTCTCTAGAAAAGGGATACAAGAGGATCGACACATGACACGTGGAAGTGTCCGAGATTGATCCGAGATGGACCCGAGATGGAGTCCGAGATGGATCTGAGATGGACCCGTGATAGAGTCCGAGATGGAGTCCGAGATGGACCCAAGGTGGAGTCTGAGATGGACCGAGACGGAGTCCGAGATGGACCAAGATGGAGTCCGAGATGGACCCAAGATGGAGTCCGAGATGGACCGAGATGGAGTCCGAGATAGACCCGAGAGGGAGTTCGAGATGGAGTCCGGGATGGAGTCTGAGATGGAGTCCGAGATGGACCTGAGACGGAGTCCGAGATGGACCCGAGGTGGAGTCCGAGATGGACTGAGATGGAGTCCGAGATGGACCCGAGGTGGAGTCCGAGATGGAGTCCAAGTTGGACCGAGACAGAGTCCGAGATGGACCCGAGATGGAGTCCGAGAAGGACCCGAGATGGAGTCCGAGGTCGAGACCGAGACCGAGACCGGGACCGAGACCGAGACCGAGGCCGAGGCTGAGACCGAGCCCGAGTCCGAGTCCGAGTCTGAGTCCGAGTCTGAAAGGGTGAAAGCCCAAAGCGTTCGTCTCCCAGACCCTGGGGGGTTTGGTGAGCTCCAAAAAGTATAGTGAGGGGGAGGACTGCAATGGAGCCAATTTGGCCAGGAAAGGCCAGTTTGGCCCAGAAATGTTGTACCTAGTGTTGGGTGATGAGCTGCCCATTGGGAAGTTCAAGACTAGAGTGAACACGGACCGACAAATGGGGTAACTTGGTGAAGTGTTCAAGAGCCGGCTCTAGTTCCCTCGAGAGGTTGACTAGCCGATACTCTCAGTCCAAGTGTGGGTGGCACTACCTACTTGGATACCTGGTGTGGCTCAACAGAACCTCGCTCTAAGCCCATGGCTAGAGCACCCAAAGGCAGAAGGCGAGGAGAGTACACACGAGGTCCGCGTAAGGCCACGGTGTTCCAAAATGTTGCCCCAAAGTCCCAGACTGTGGAAAGGAAAAGGAGTAGCCCTTTGGTGTGGTGAAAAAGGACATAGTCACATAGTGAGGAAGTCCCAGATGATAGTTGGACTTAGTGGTCGGGCCTGTGGGCCTTGATCCAGTGGCAGTGTTAGTGAACACGGCCATGGACAGGAAGGGATTTGGTGGGGGCCGGAAAGGAGACATTGAGGAAGGCTATTCCCCATGTCTGCAGGTATCCTGAGGATGCTATAGAGTGGATCTAGGATAGCCACTCATGGATGGATGGCCCAGTCTTTGAGAGACGGGATTGTAATGCAGGTGGTGTTGGACCACCGATGTGACCAAGGTGAATGGGCATGGCCTAGCGTAATGGGCTGGTATGTCAGTGGTACCTTGGGGTGTCAGTCATGGGATCGGACACATGGAGCACTTGGACCAAGTGCAAAGGTTAAGTGGCGTGGATGCCATTCTTGGGGTTAGCAAGCCCTAAGTTCTGAATGGGACTTATGGAGGTTGTGAATGAGACTCCTCCAAGTGGTCAAAGGTGCGGTTAAATGACTAAAGTAGAATGGAAAAATTAGTTACTTACACGGTTATCCTATGGGTCAATAGTTACGTGTGCTTGAGGCCTACATTTCCTTCCATTTTGACCTTTATTTCTCTTTGTCATAGGCATTTTGGGCAACTTTGCGCAACTTGAGCACAAGTCTACAATCTTCTTGCTTCTATCTACCCAGTTGCCTTGACCATTTGTCAGTTTGGAAGCACCACTGGAGAGTTCCTTCAAGACTGGTTCCTAGACCTCACTACTATCTCTGTTATACTTTTGGACCCCTTTGCAGCCCCCCCCCCCCCCCCACGCCAAGGCTACACCCCGATCACCATCCCCCCCCCCCTGCCCCCGTCCCATTCCCCCCCCGGCCCCCCGCTATCCCCCTTATCACGTGCGCGGGTCCCCCCGCCCCCCCCCCCCCACTGCCCCCATCCCCTCACTTCGTCTGCCCCCCGCCTTCCCTCCCCCCCCCCCGCGCCCCCCCCTTCCCCCCATTCCGCCCACACCTCCCCCCCCACCCCCCCCCCTGTACCCGCGACCCCTCCCCCCCTTCAGCCCCCCCCCTACAACCGCCCCAGGGCCCCGTCAGCCAGTATAAGTCGGGTCGACCCCCCTATCTACCCGGACGTCCCCCCCGCCCCCCCCCCCGTAGGAGACACATGCTTTGGGCTTTCACCCCTTGACCTGTATTAGTACTCAGACTCGATCTTGGACTCAATCTTGGACTTGATCTTGGACCTGACTTCGGGCTCGATCTCGAACTTGATCTCGGACCCGATCTTGGACTCAACTTCGAACTTGACCTCGGACTCGGTCTCGGACCCGATATTGGATCTCGAACTCTATCTCTAACTCGGTTTTGGAGTCTGCCTCGGACTCGATCCCGGACTCTATCTCGAACTTGGTCTCAGAATCAATCTTGGACTCGATCTTAGACTCAGTCCTATCCGATGAACTCTTTATCATTTCGGTCATACTTTCGGGGATCCTTTAGCCTATGACACTTCGGGGAGTTGGTTCCTTACAACTCCACCACCCATGAAAGAAGTTCAATGCCCAGGGCAGATGTGGTGTTCCTAGCATCTTTATTTGAAGAAGAGGCCACTCCTATGATTACAGCTTATTTCGACAGTTCTTTCTACCCCAAAAACCAAGTTGCCGGCATTGGAGTTTGGATGATCGATTCTAAGAAGAATAAAGTAGCCGACCTTTCTATCACTTTGCCAGCAACATCAGTTAATGAAGCAGAGTACTTGGCGGCTATCAATGCCATGAAGTTGGCCACAAATCTCAAGTTTAGGCGAGTCACTTTCATTGGAGATGTGCAACTCATCATACGCCAACTTACTAGAGAATACCAAGTCCACAAGGAGAACCTGAAAGAGCTATGGCAGCGGGCGGTCAACCTAAAGGATGAGTTCTCTCATATGACTTTTTAAAGTGTCCCTTGTGAAGAAAAATTTTGGGTGGATAGGTTATCACATCAAGCAATCACCATGATGCGAGAGGCAAGAGGCACTCCCTGCTCTTTGGTTTCCAAAGTCGAGAAGGAATCTAAGATAGATGAACCCCTTGAGCCTAAGGTTTCTCGAGACTCCAGGGTTCATGCCATTTTACTAGGTGATGACAAGGATCCGGTCTTTATCGCCACATCACTTGCTTCAACAAACATAGCAAAGCTCTTGGATCTCCTTCACTATTTCAAGGACGTGTTTTCTTGGGACTACGGCCAGCTTCAAGGAGTTCCCATGGACACAATCATGCACAGTATTGTGCTTTCAGAGTCAGCCAAACTAGTTTGTCAAAAGATGCGGCATTTTAGCCCAATAGCTCATACAGAGATGAAGTTGGAGATCGAGCGACTTCTAGCAGCCGGCTTTATTTACCCTTTGGAGAGCTCAGAGTGGGTGGCCAATCTCATCCCTACATGCAAGGCAAATGGAAAACTCTGCCTATGCGTTGACTTTGAGACTTGAATAAGGCAACTGCAAAAGATCACTTTCCAACTCTGTTTATCGATGCAATTGTGGATGAGATGGCAAAACACTGATACTACTCTTTCATGGATGGCTTTTCAGAGTACAACCAGATCTTCATTCACCCTAATCATCGAGATCTTACAGCCTTTTGAACACCTTGGGGCGTCTTCGCTTTCAATGTCCTCCTGTTTGGCTTGTATAATGCCGAAGCTACTTTTCAACACTTTATGACTCATGCCTTTCACAACTTGATTGGAAGTGCCTTGAGGGTGTATATGGATGATCTTTGCAAGACTTCGAACTCCTTCAAGGACCACCTTGTGCACTTGGAGCAGATCTTCACTTGCTGCCGACAACACAAGTTTTCATTGAACCCGGCAAAGTGTAAATTCGGGGTGACTGAAGGCTAGTTGCTAGGCTTTGATGTCTCACTAAATGGGATCAAACCCCAGGTAGCCAAGGCTTAGGAGATTTTGGACTGAAACCCACAAACCAATGTGAAGCAGCTTCGTAGCTTCCTCGGGCAAACGGGTTTCTTTTGCCATTTCCTCCACAACTATGCTACACGTTCCTGGCCTCTGATAGCTCTGCTACAACACAACGTTCCATTTGTCTAGGGTGAGTCCCAGCATCAAGTCTTTGAATCATTGAAGCAGTCACTCCACACAGCCCCAATACTCCAACCACCAGAATGACAACTTCCTTTCGACATTTACATCACAACGATTACAGAGGCTTTTGGAGTATGCCTTTGCCAATGGTCACAGCCTGGCAAGCCACCACATGCAACATACTATGCCTCACATTCGTTCAAGGAGACTGAGAAGAAGTACATGGATGTAGAAAAAGAAGCAATGGCTGTAGTTTACACCTTGGAGCAATTTCGTCACTTTCTCACTGGAGCCTATATCCATTTCTATGTCTGTTTTAATGTGCTCACCTTTCTTTTACAGTGATTGGTTCACAGTCCTCGTACTTTATCTTGGATTGTGACCATCCAAGAGTTCCAGCCAACTTTTCACATGCGGCGGAAGCGCATGATGGATCCGAGCGAATTCCTGGTTGCTGAAGCTACTTCCTTTGTGGTCCCAGCAGCATTACAAGACATTGCAGTGTACCTGGATTCAGGTCAATTCCCACCGGATTCCTCACCGAGATCCGAGCACGGGGATTTTGCCTTCTCAATAGACACCTTTACAAGAGGACTTCTCAGGAAGTTTTGTTGCGGTGTGTGGGGGAACACAAGGTCCTTGAGATCCTTCGCGCTTTCCACTCTTGTGTGGGGCATTTCTCAAGACGGGTCACAACACAGCTCCTCTTGTGCCATGGATACTTTTGGCCTTGGATTCACCAGGACAGCTTGGCCTATGCCAAGGCATGTGAGCAGTGCCAACGGTTCAACCCCCGGAGCCATGTTCCATGTCTTCCTTTCCAGCTCATTACTTCTTTGGGTCCTTTTTTCCAGTGGGGACTTGACATTGTCTATTGAGCTCAAAAGGACAGCAATATATCATCGTGGCAATGGACTATTTCACAAAATGGGTTAAGGCCACCCCTCTACTACCAGCAGATCAACAGTCTACAGCAAATTTTGTCTACGAGTACATCATTTGCCGATTTGGAGTTCTTGCTGTTTTGATTTCCGATCGTGGCAGTGGCTTCCTTGGACAAGTGATGCAACATCTTCTCCAGCAGCTGCAGGTCAAGCACGTGAAGAGCAGCAGCTATTATCCTGGGTGCAATGGCCAAGTAAAGTCTAGCAACAAGATATTGAAGACAGTCATCTCAAAGCTTGTGGAGGATCACCCAAGGTGTTGGCACGAGCACTTGGTTATGGCGTTATGGGCCTTTTGAACGTCCTTCAAAACATCCATCTCTGCAACCCCATTCTCCCTTGTCTATGGGATAGATGTTGTGCTTCCAGTGGAGATCCAGATACCATCACTCTCACTTCCATTTCGATATGCAGTAGCAATGCAGCTTAGCAATAAGGACTTGTAGGTTCTTGCCTTGGACGAATAGCAACGATCCACGACTGAACATCTCCTTCGGGGCAAGCAGAAGATCAAGTCCGTCATTGATCACTAGTGCTCTACCAAACCATTCGAGGATGGCAATCTTGTTCTACTCAAAGAGTTTACACCACCATCGAAGTTCTCCCCTCGTTGGACCAACCCCTACTTTGTCCAGCAACACATCAGAGGTGGAGCATATGTGCTAGTTGATGTTGATGGACGTGAACTCCCACACACTCACAACCACTCTCACCTCAAACGCTTCATCCGGTGAGGCATTCCTCTTCTTTTCTTTTTCTTTTTCTTTTCCTTCCTTTCTTTCACTTTACTTTCATGGCTCTTTTTCTTACTTTCAGGGGGTGTTTCTCCATTGGACCATGGCCCATGCCTTGGATTTCATGCTCAAGTTACATTGTTGTTTGTATGGATGTTCCTCGCTTGCCCCGGTCTATGTTCCAGGTCCTTTGGCCCTTCCTTTACCATTACTACACCCCACATATTCCCCTCACTCATTCCATATCCTCTACACTCGCAGTTCCATCACCAATCACATTCTGTAGATATGCCAAATGAGCAAATCTGGACACTTTTCATAAATAGCATTTGGGATCGAAATGAGACTAACACAAAGGGCATGATAACGAGGGTGTTTGGCAGACATAGTAAGCTATCATCTAGCGATATTGAGGGACTAGTCTCAATACACGAGGGTTCTTGTCACTAGCCAATACAAGATATAACAAGATGGGTAATCCTTACTAGGCTAAGTATGCTTAGCTAATAACACGTAGGAATTCCGTCCTTATGCTCATCCAGTCTAAGTACACTCGAAATGCTTAGTTAACTCCACTAGCACAAGAGGGGCTGATAAAGTGTCTAGCAATACCAACCTCCTGCCATCGTGGCAGTAAAGAAAGAGTGTCCGTAAGGACTAGCCGACAAGTAATTTTCGATACCCGAAGTCACATTCGCGACACACAAGCCCGACCACTAAGTCCCATTGTCCTCTAAGACTTCCTTACCACATAATTGTATCCTTGGTCACTACACCAGAGGACCACTCCTCTTCCTTTCAATAGTCTGGGACTTTGGGACAACATTTTAGAACACCGTGGCCCTACACAAGCCTCATGGGTACTCTCCCACCTTCCGCCTTTGGGTGCTCTAGCCATGGGCTTTTAGTGGTTATCTCATCACCCAACACTTGGGTATAGCCTTCTTGGGCCAAATTGGCTCCATTGAGGTCCAACCCTCACACTCGCCCTACTATACTCTACACCCCACCGTCCCCCCCCCCTCTAAGGGATGATTGCTTTGGGCTTTCACCCAACAGCCTGTATTAATATTCGAACTCCATCTCAAACTCTATCTCGGGTCTATCTCAGGCTCCATCTCGGGTTCATCTCAGACTCCATCTTGGACTCCATCTTGGGTCCATCTCGGACTCCATCTCGGGTCTTATGTTGGTCCTTTAGTGTCCCTTTTCTAGAGACTCACTTATGGCTTGCTTCGTGCTTGTTCTCGAGCACTTCGTTGGGAGTTGCACTCTCATTCTCGACTATTCAAGTCGGAGTTTTTAGTCCAAATGTGTTACTCCTGTTTGGCTTCTACTTCGGCCACCACCATATGGCACCCTTTCAGCTCCACTTTTGGGGCTTTGGGATTTGTGTCTCATACTAGGGAAGGATAGTATGACTAAGAATAGTTAAACTTACTAAGCCAAGGGGAATCAACACTTCAATTTCCATACTAAAACTATCAATCTTTTTATTGTATAGATTAGATATTCCTTGTAAGGCACTAATCATTCAATTGTACCATAGTCCCACAGTGGATACCTTCATCACTAAAACTACCAATCTTTCTATTGTGCAAATCAAATATTTCATATGATGTTATTAGTCATCCATCTATACCATAGTCTTGTAAGCGACTAAATTTTCCATTCTACTTTAGTCACTTAACCACACCTCCGACCACTTGGAGGAGTCTCATTCACAACCTCCATAAGTCCAATCCAGGACTTGGGACTTGCTAGCCTTGAGAATGGCATCCATGCCACTCAACATTTGCACTTGGTCCAAGTGCTCCACGTGTCCGATCCCATGACCGACACTCAAAGGTACCACCGACATGCCAGCCCGTTACGCTAAGGCCATGCCCAATCACTTTTGCCACACTGGCAGTCCATTACCACTTGCATCACAGTCTTGGCTCTCCAAGACTAGGCAAACCATCCGTGAGTGGTCATCTGAGATCCACTCCTTAGCACCCCTAGGATGCCCACCGACAAGGGGAATAGCCTTCCCCAATATCCCTCTGTCAGTCCCCACTAAGTCCCTTTCTGCCCCTGGCCGTGTTTGCCAACACTGCCACTTGATCGAGACCCACAGGCCCGACCACTAAGTCCCACGGTCCTCTGGGACTTCCTCACCACACGACTGT